TGGGCCATATATCTCAGCCTGTAACCACCGACAATCCTCATCTCTTTGACCCCAAAGCCAATGCTGACAGTCTGACCGCAGCGGTGCTTCTTCTAGCCTTGCCTAGCGCGTGCAAAGAGAACACGAAGGGGTAGACGATGAGCAAGGATACGAAAGAAATGACTGAACCATCGGAGGCGGTGTAGAGTGATTGCCATCAAGCACAGGTTATTGCAGCTTAATCTGTTTGGCACATTGAGAATATCTATAAACTACCCAGCACACGACGATGAATTTCGTCATCACTCACCCGATATTCCCACCAGCCGTGAACAATGCACCAATGGTCGAATACATAAGTTGATTAGCATCCGCTCAGAAAGGCCACGTCCTGCAAATGTAAAGCAGAGCACTACGAACCGCGGCGATGTACACAACGAACGCTGACAGTTTTCCCGCCATTGGTTTAGAACCATTTCAAAGATGGGGACAACGTTTGATTCCCCCCTCAAGAAGGGTTCCTAATCAGTGTGCCAAACTTTAGAGAACAGAGCTGCCAATTATCTAATAGGCCATGCTTAAATAGAGCTAGAGCTGGGCTATTAAAGACCGGCGCTTTGTGACGTCCCAAGGCTTGGATCCCATTGCGGATTTTCGTCTCAGAAGGTGGGTCCGTTGAAACAGGCTGTGAGACGTTCCGGGATAGCTGTATGAGAGGCTAACGCTGGTGGCCAGCTTAAATGTGCCTCGAATTGCTCCGCCCAGCGTGCAAGACGTCGGCATCATAGATCGTTTCTCTCATCCCAAGTTTTCCTACCGGTGACTCGATTAAGAGGGAACAGGTCACGGGATTTCTCATGGCGACAGCACGTTCGATCTCTGATGCACGTTGAAACCACTACATTTCGCGGTTTCTGCGTAGGCTTATCATAAGTTCACCTCATTACAAGTGGTGTTCTGTTATGCTCACTGCTGGTCGGACGTGCTTCAAGAAGGTACAGAGACTCAGCGAAAACCCAGTCTGTCCCGAAACTACGTGTCAGACCACAACTAACTAAGACAGCAAAAATGTAAAGCATTCCTGTTAGGCGACAAGTGCTGACCAATGTTATCAGGTGAGGTTGATTCTAGCTTTTCAGCTAGTGCGTTCTGAAAGACAGTTAGGAATGTTGGTTGCGACAACTTATCACACTCTAACCATCGTTGTGTCTTACGTTTCGAACGCCCATGGAAGCACATAGAAAGCTTGGCGTAAGCTAGAGCGTGATCGTATTCGAGGGACAGTCTTGTATACAACCATTTGTGGCTTATAGCGATGTGGTCGATTTGCGTTTGTCGCTGATTCGAGGAGAGTCAACGCCAAGTGGCTTACCGGCAGTTCCATGACCTAAAGTCCGTACTGGCGCGGAATGGGCGGTGTTCAGAGCCAACAGCCGTTCCCCGTTTTTCGGGCAGCAGGAATCAAGTCCGAAAGGGCCTCAGGTGCACCTCATCCGAAGTCAGCCGGCCTACTCGCATTCATATCTTCTGCTCAAATCACGATATCTGCGCGATTTGCTTTACGCTAGAGGTCGAATGGTTTTTGGTAGACAGTATTGTTGGTTGTATCTGGGTTACGGGTAGTGGGTGTACGCTAAGACGAAAAAGTTGCGTCTTTCGGAGCGACGACTGCCTACTTTGCACAAGCCCCTAAGTCTCACTACGCACAACCGACTGTCGATTGGGATGCAGTTTGGGAGCTCGGCTTCAGCTCTCTCACCGAGAGCCAGGCCAACGCCAACAAGACCAGGAGCCACAGCCTCAGGGTCCCCAGGAAGACGAAAGTGGAAATTCGCGGATGGGTTTGATGAGGACGTCAATCAGATGGTGGAGCTGGAGTCTTAAATGCGAGTTTCTAGGATACAACACATCGATGGCTAGGGTTTCGATGGTACGAGTTAAACATGCCTGTGGTCCTATACGCATCAGAGTAGGCACATTAAATATGTCTAGTTTGAACAGACATCGAGGACGAAGAAGAGCCTCAACTGCTGAAAAAGGGTTCAGTGAGACTTGGACGCGATTCGAGGCAGGACGCGAGAGAATGTGGACAGAATATTCATTTGCGACACAACTGTTGGTACTGTTAGTAAAGCACTATTGGAACTAAGTTAAACTCCAGCAATCCAATTCTAGTCAACGTTGTATTCTGCTCCTCACCCCATTGTAATGGGTAGTAAAAATAGGAAACCCTCTGATCACTATGATCCATGTTATACTCATCATCGATAGGCAGCACTTTTTTGCTGCATCCATAGGAGCAGGATTTAATAACCTCACGGTTGGAATGCCTATCATGTAACAGAACTGGTACAGAATCCCCATTCCACAACCACGGTTTTCATTACAAGCCGAAGAAACTGTGCAAATAATAATAGACGTACAAAAAGGAAAGTGTTGCATCAATTCGTTATATTCGGAAAACGAAGCCAAAAATAAATGTACATTATCCGGAGATAGATGCTTTGTATGGATGACCTGTCATCTGCACTCTGAGGAAGTTCGTTTCGTTGCATTTTCAGTGATTTTCAATTGCCATCGATTAGACACTGAGTAGGCTAAAACTAAGTACCTAAGCTCCCGCGAGCAAAAGCAGGCGGATAACGATAGAAAACAGAAATTGGTGGGCTGGTAACTTCCGGGTTGAGATCCCCAAAAATCCTGCGAACGTATGAATCAAGAAATAAAAGGATCTGCTAGCAAGTCGTCACCTGCTTTTTATCATTTCCTATCGCATCATGCTGCATGGGGACATACGTATATAAGTTTAGATAAAAACCAAGACAGTGCGTTGTTAATAGTTGTAAAAACTGGAACCAAAACATTTAGAAAGTTTACAGTCATCTCGCGCTATACCATAGTTTAATTATTGCGGATTCGTTGTAACTCGGTTTAAAATAAAGATATATGTATATTTCTGTTTCGTGGAACATACACTAAAACCCGGCTTCTTCAGCGTTTGGATTATTTATCCAACCTTATTAATCTAAAATATTTGTACCTAACGTTTTAAAACAAAGCTTGTGATTCAAACATACACAGTATTTCATCAACGAACGAATGTATACTGCGATGGAATAAACAGCATAACTATAATCATCACTCAGACGAAGAGGTCATATACGTTCTTGCCTCTGACGGAAATAGAATTTATGACCCAGTTTGAGGACACTGCGCCATCTGACGAGACGCCTTATGAAGTAGAGCCTTCGGCAAAGTTATAATGCTCTTCTTGGCTAAGCAGTACATTCATCTCATTACTATCAACTTCATCACCAGTTCAGTTTTTACAACTAATAGTTATACATCTTTGTATGGAGGTCTTGGTTGCTGTATTTAGGCTGCCCAGTTAGAATGTTGAGAGCAGAGTCAAACAAAAGATGGAGAATTCATATAAATTGAGGTTGCAAGGATAATGAGCAGATGCACGAGTGCCACGATCGGTACTGCACAGTTACATGATTCATGATCTTCATTCATTCAAGTTGTTGTACACTTCACTGGAAAGTACGTGTTGTGTTGTTAAATTACGCAAGTTTAAGAGTGCAGAAAGTCTGGAAGTGCAAATGAAGTGTACGGATGAGTAACTCCCTCACTGTACTGTGTTGATCATATTAGTTCATTTTTTCCCCTTCCTCGAGCAGGCCCATTCCTTATCCGCATTATCCATTCGTATTTACTTAGTCCATTGTATAACGGACTGCGCAAGGCCGACGACGTTGGTGATGATAATACAGTGATGATTCTGTTTTGGTAACAATTTGGTACTATCAGTTATAATTATGCATCCCGTTGTCTGTTGTTTGCTTGCTCTGAATTACTGTTTTGTGTACTCTAGGGCATCTTAGATATCGCATCCTCGGAATAAATATGTGGTCTCTTTAGATGGTTGACGAACATTCACTCTAAGTTAAGGAATTCCACACGAAAATTATCTCATTTGCGTAATACGGTCATTTAAAGGGGTGAAATGGATGTGATATTGTTAATATGATACTCAACTTTTATTCGGATTTATTTCAGAGCCACGTTGAACATCTACATGGCCTATACCGGAAGAGATGAACTAACGCACGCTATTGAACGAATCCGAACGGGCGTGCTTGATGAGCTTATTTCTCCTGGGTGAGTGGTTTTCTCGAAAGAAATCGGTGAAAATTCGGGTAACATTGCTCCCTGTTCACATACAGCCGACATTTGCAATGATCCTTGATCTGAAACTAGCTTTCAACTCGTTTGATCAAGAGGCGCTCTCCGGTTCCATTATTTCTACCGGAATATTCCAAATATTATGACACTGGGCCAACGCTTGACTCGTCTAAGATAAGCGTTGGCCCAGTGTCATAATCACTTGAACATTTTCCATTACGAATTTCCCACATGGCGCACCACTCCACAACTGATTCTCTTGTGATTCTCTACCAACACTTAGGCAGCATCGGATTCGGAACCTATCCTTCTCCTGTTTCGGCCCGAAATCACATGATCGATTGTGTTTAGTTATCGATCGGTCGGATGGTTCAGCCACAACAAGGGACCTGGCCCTTGCCCAGCTAACCCGAACGACCACCCACACCTTGTCTACAGCCGAGTCTTAGACAGGCCCAGTGCAGCAGGAGTACCTTTAGCCCACAGATGGACTGGACATGACAACAAGAGCCTTACAAAAGGTACAAATCGGTAATCAGATAGTCTCGTGTTGGGGTGAGGGATTTCAAGTGCTGCAGATCGCGGAATATGATCCAATCAGATCACAGAAAGGGTCAGCGAATTTACTTGTTTAAGGTCACGGGTGAGAGGGACGAGACGATGTGAAACGATGGAGCAATCGCGCTGTATACCGGCGCATTAGGAGTTCTTGTACACCAAATCGTCAAATTCTCGAACACAGCAAGTCGAATTCTCAGTTTCAATACTGCATACACAACCAGTAGTTAAAAATTACAGATCATTAGCGTAGCTTGAACTAAGCTCTGGTGCACAAGCGCATACGTACGCAGCTTCCCTCCGATCCATGCACGCGCGTATCCATCTATGCATTGACTGCAACGCAGACAGCAGAGAGGTCCTCTGAGGACAGCCTGGTGAACGTGATAGACAGTCAATCAATACTGGGAGGAGGCGACCGTTGTTGAACAACACAATGATTATCCTAGAGTTGGGCCCAGAATTTGCAACGCTTCATTTTTTAATCGAGTGTTGCGACGGTGCATATAAGCCCACTCTCATAAACACATACAGACTGGCCAATGAAATGACCTTTAAGATCATGTGATACTGTCGTTCCCCCATCTCGATTATGACTACCCATCATCACTAGTCACAGGTTTCCGATTGATAGTGTAACTAAACTGTCAAATGGTTTGGTCTGGTTGGTTGGATCACGAAGTAGGGCTTTGCAGCAAAGTAAATAGGCTTGGTATTATTGGACTGCAACATAAGACTTAACAGCCCGCAACGGGTACAATGGACGGACCCCTCTGATTAGTACTATTTCAACAAAGGTCTTCACATAAAGAATGCCATTGATAGTTGACTGTGTGAAGGAAATCCTGAAGGAGACAGAGACATTTGTGTCCGTGCGCTAAAGCTGGGATCTTGTTACCTTCGCTTGCTGATTAAATGAAAGAACACCACGGCAACTGACCTCGATCGGTTGGTCGTCCGGCTAAGAAATGCGAGTCACGGTGCGACCAATCGACAAACCATTTACCGTGATCAGGCATGCGTGTGTACATGAGGCGTTGGATAGAATATTGACCAGTTTGCCACTGGCTCTGAAATACAAAGCAAGAAGTATCGAGGTTTGCACTGGATAGCAAGATTTCATTCAAATACAATTACGTACAAAATGCCAAAGATTATTTTGCCCGAGATTCCTTAATTCTTGACCGGATCCTGTTCATAAGGCTGAGGATGATCCTATAGTGACTATTTAACTAGTTCAGTTTGTTGGTGGCATCGTTTCAATTATAGTCGTGTTGCGTGAGGCGAAACTGGAATTTATGTGATCAAATGAGATAAGTTGTCGGATCTTTCATTGCGAATACATGACAGTTGCTTGTTTGTTTGAAACTGGTTCTGTTGCCGTGCCCGTGCACCAGTTGAAGACCCAGAAGCTTCTTGTACAGCCCCATCATTTCTGTCACCCGGCTTGATATCACACCTCTCCTGTTTTAGCCACTCCGCGGACCGGATAACTTTTCTCTATGACAAAAACAGGGATTCCCTGAGTCTTTGAGTTTACTTTGGTTTCTAGTGTTTCAGACTATCTTCCATTGACGTTTTTGCAATTCCGTTCGGTTTTAGTGACATTGATCCACAACTACTTTCTGGTTGTTTGCACTCGCGAATGTCGCGACCATTGGACCTGCTGATTCGCACGTCTGGCGAGGTGCGCTTGAGTGATTTTTTGGTTTGGTCTGCGGCTACCAGTGGCACAGTGCACAAATTCGTTGGAGACTTTTGGCCAGATTTCTCGTTCTGGGAGTTCGCCCAAGCTATTTTGTACTATCAACTCGCGAACACGTATCTTTCTGTGAGTGTCGTTCAAACAGACATCATATCTGATCTAAAACCCTTGTAGTTATGTGTTTCCGAGTGTTATCTATTCACCTTGTGAGGGTTGTCGCTTTTGAACATATGGTTGGGTTATAGGCCTGAGACGAAGGCGGAAAAATTGCAAGATCTCGAATCCCACTGTATAGATCATTCGATTTCATATCTCTTCGTCATAGATGTATTATGCTACTATAGGCTTCATTTCTGTTGAAATTTCATACATCCGTTCCTCCGGGCACTCGAAGAACGCTTGCTTCCCAACAAACTGTTTGCCTTGCTCCTGGTTGTTTTCACTATTTAGACCGCCGAAGAGTGAACCATACCTTCGAGCGAACTCGGTCATTGGGTCATTAAGTTGTAAACCAACAAAAATTATTTTGTCTGTGCTGGTGACACATCGTTAGCCCTTCTGGTGTGACAAGTTAAAATATGGTACTTGGTAGGCATGTGCTTCACACAAGGTCATTGTATTCTCTTGATAAGCCCTACTACTGAAATTCAGTGATTCCACCTATGCTATATGTGTCTCCTGGTCCTCCAGGTTGAAGGTTCGACTGGAGTTGGCGTTTCAGTCGGCAAAAGATGATAGAGCAGTAATCGATACAAGCAAATGGGCCTCCGCTTCGCTTCACTCATTGTCTTTTGGCTAGGTTCTTGTCAGAACTAGGGGCTTTGGTTGCGAACCCTTAGCATCCCCCTGCTTAGTAGCTGAACAGCTTAGCAGTACCCACCAATCAAACCCCAAGGCATACATAAATTAAAAATAATTATATACTGCATCGGTCGTCGAGCCGGATAATCATTACCACGTTGCCCTTTGCATCGAGCGGAGTGGGTAATTAAAAGTAAACTACTGCACACATCCCAACCTTTGTTTAGTTCTTTGTCTCCCGTACCCGGCCCTCTATTTGTTCTTTATTCCGACCTGTAACAGTCCACCAAGCAACCTTGTTGTTGCTTGCCACAGGTCGTTGCCAATTAGCACTAAGTAATTTACCGCGAAATAGATTGCAGATTTTGAAGCCTTGTCAGTCATTGAATTTGGGGGCTTTCAATGTAAGGACTCTAATGTAGATGGATCAGCGATCAGCGTACAACGCATTCCCTAAGGATCGATGTTTGCTGCGTGTCGGAGACTCGAATTCAGGATCGTACTATTAGCCACTATCACTATTTCGATGACCTTAACCACTTAACCACCACTGCCTGAAATGTAATTCGGAAGAGGAGTCACTTTTATCCAGGAAACGAAAATGCGTAATCTGTAACAGGTTCGTTTCTGGTCAAATAAATTACTACTAAAACGCTTTCGTCTCGTTAGTTAGTATGTAGTTGGGTTATAAAATCTCGTCTTAAGGGTTTAACCTTATTTTGTACTGTTTTGTGAACGTCCCTCCAGCGAAATGAAAATCCCCACTGTCCACGCAAATTTTTTCGCTCCTGATAATGATCACTCTACTGCACGAGCTTTGTGCTGAGATTCAATGATTATTAGTTTCATCTTTTGCTTGAAAAATTTGAATCTGTTCTCTAAGTACCTTTTTGTACGGAATTCCTAAACTTATCACAGGTAAACTAATCTTTGGTTGCTGGGTGTTCGCCTCACCACTCCCGCGGGTTCGTTTTTGTTCGATGAAGTTAATTGTCGCCGTACGCGTTTCTGCTGAGGTCTACGCCGAATATTTTGGTTTAGATGCGCATTACAACGTTACAGGGATCATGAACAATTTATGAACTGTGCTGGTAATTTCAGCACAGTGAGGTCGTAAGCTGTGCACAATCCGTCATCTATTTTCAGCATTCGTTTCTTTCAGTTGTTGCAGTAAAATCCATCTCTGGGTCTATATAACATAGTCAGTTTCAGTTTGTACAACCATTAACCATGCACTTTCGTGCTCCGGTTTTGGTTGCCGTCTTTTGGTGCCCCATTCAGGTAAAAGAGCAGAATGGGGATTGGAATGTTGAAAGCAAATTCAAGCGGGGGATGAAGAATTCATATAGAATAGTGTTACGGGAATAATGAGTGAATGCACGAACTCCACTGTTTGCGACACCTAGCCATATCACTCAGTGTCTCTAACCATCGGTGTCCATCATCCCGAGGTCCCTACCCAGCGAGCCCAACGGGGTCTATGTGACCTAGTCTCCTGGTTGGGGTCATCATACCCTCATACCAGGTATTAATATTTTTCCATCCACTACCTGACTCGGCGAACATCGCTCGCCGTGGCAACCTACTTTGTGACATGCGTAACACATGCCCCAACCAACGTAATCTATGGATGTCGACCATTTCTCCTGTGGGTGACCGCGGTTACCTAAAATTCTGTGCCTAATCTCAGCGTTGATCGTCCGGCTGCCCCACCAGAAACGTGCAATGCTGCGTAGACAGCGGTGTTCAAACGCCGACAGTTTATCTTTATCCTGCCTGCTTCGTGGCAAAGTTTTCGCGCCGTATAGCAGAAGTGGCCGAACTGCCGCAACATAAACTGGACCCTTAAGAGAGCCGAATGTCGCGACGGCGCCGCAAATGTCTGAAGCTGGCAAATGCCAACCGAGCCTTCTGTATGCCAGCTGACACTTTATCTGTGATGCGTCCACACGGTGAGATATAGCTGCCCAGATAGCAAAATTTGTCTACTTCCTCTACTACTTCCCCAGTC